CGCCGCAGCCAATTGGGAAACGAGCGCAAGGTTGTTGGTGCTTCCGTGAAGAAGGAGCCCGAATACGACTGGTTCGACTTCTTCTTGAGAGCTGGAGTTGGGCCTCATCAGTGCGAACGCTATGCAAGCAACTTCACCAAGGATTCAATGGACGAATCGGTCATCCCAGATATCACTTCGGATGTTCTTCGCACCTTGGGCTTGAAGGAAGGTGATATAATAAGAGTGATGAAATATGTCGATGAGAAATACAAACGGAAGGCCAAGGGAGGTCGGAACGTCACATTCGCTGATGGTGAAGAAGAGCCTGCCAGTGGAGGCCTGTTTTCCGGTCCTGGTGGTGCACTACGAAATAATACTCGCAAGGGGCGTCCTGCCCCTGCAGCTCAAGCCAGCGACGTGGTTGATCCAAAAGCGTTTGCTCCCAAGGACAAATCTGCGCCTGCTGATGGAAAAGATAAGGAGAAGGATGGACCTGCAGGGTTTGAGGACGACGCATGGGAGGTTAAGACACCATCCAAAGCTGCGGCTTCAACCGCCCCATCCTCTGCTCCAACTACTGCTGCAAGCCAACCTGCATTGACTGGCGCTATGGCAGACCTGTCTTTACTTCAAACCCCCTTGGAACCCACGAAAACTGCTCCAGCCCCTACAACCAAGCCAGCCGAGCCGGCTATTACGCAGCCTCCAGCTACTCAAGCACCACCGGCAACACAACCTCAGAAACCAGGTGCAAACCCTCAGTTCTTTACACAACTTGGCCAGCCTCAGATGCAGGCTATTGCACCGCAGATGACTGGATACGTCCAACCCCAGCTGCAGCCCCAGCAAACTGCTATGCCACCTCGACAACGGCCTCAGCCTCCTGCTACAGCAGTTGGTCAAGGATTCCTCACTCCTCCTCCACCCCCTAGACCACTCTCTGCGCCAAATAACCCTCCAAACAGCTTTATAACACAGCCGCTACAACCTCAACTCACCGGCATCCCATCCACAGCTCCGCACATAGCCCCTCCGGGCCACAGCCTAGCAGAACTTAATCAACAGCGGTTCCAGCAACAGCAGTTGGTGTCTCAGCCAACAGGATTCCCTTCTCAGGTTCCGGCGATGACTGGGCAGTTTGGACCCCAGATGCCACAGCAACAATCCTTCATGAGTTCTCCTCAGCAGTTCATGGGTGGTCAGCAGCAACCATTCCAGACCACTTCGCCTGTCCAGCAGCAAACGTTCCCAGCTTTGGCTCCTCAGCCCACAGGTTATCCCCAATTTGGACAGCCACAACAACAGCAACCACCACCCTTGCCAACCGGGTCCATCAACTCTGTTCTTCCTCCTCCCCTCCAGCCTCAGCGCACAGGTGCAAACGGTTTTGGGGTGCCTCCGACAAGTTTCACACCATCACCACCACCAATTCCACAGCAGCCTGCAGCTGCTCCACTTCTACCTCAAAAGACAGGCCCTGCTCCTCCTGTACGTTTCGGTGTCCACAAAGATACTCCAAAGAAAATTATGCCTCAGCCAACTGGGAAGGCAAATCTTGCTCAAGCCAGTACGTTATCCTAACCCTTGGTTATGTATGATATTTATGATGATTTTCTTGACTAACTTATTGCTTAGCTCCATCCAATCCATTTGGTTTTGCCTAGAACGGTCTAACCCATCTGAACTTTTGATCTACTTACGAATGACTCCACAAAGAATAACGATATCATTTGCGCACATCCTTACCTCTCACCAGCCTCCGTCTCCCTAATAAACAACTTCCCCATCCCTGGTTTAGCAAGAACCTATTCTTACATATTTTGCTCGCAAAGAGTTGTTCAATTGCCATTTGGATCCATGCCACTGCGTAACCTGCGGCTTTTCATTTGTTCTCAAACACCTCTCCATCTTCTTCCCTCCTCGAGGTATCCCCATACCTGCCTGACTTGACCTTTCTTGTGCCCATAGTTTGTTTCAACATGATCCTTTCCTCTGTCTCTCAGGCCTTTTGCATGATTCAGCTTAATCATGCCAACTAGGATAATCACTTATAGACAGCATTTTCTCCGTCACAAGCTCTTTTCTTTGTTCATTCTTATCAGATAATTGTTTATCGGGCACATTTACCTTCTATCGTTATACCTAGCTCTTTCAATCTCGCCTATATATTCCTCAAATTTAGTGTTTGAATGGTTTATGAACATTTCCGCAAATTTCTACATCTATTAGCATGCTTGTTTATCTCCCCAATCAATCCTAACAAACATTTCATATCAATCCACCATGACTCCGTGCCATATATGCACTTTAAGCCGAATATATTTGTTACAACCCTGCTGTATTTTAGCAAAATTCTGCTCAAACATCCGCCCTACTTATATACCTCTAGTCTTCATCTTGCTAGGGTGTAGTAGTAACGCGTCATAGCGTAATTGAAGGCGTATTCTCATTGATATCAGGGCCACATAGCATCATTAAGCGTACAAGTTTTCCAGCAAGGCCAACTCCCTAACATAAAGCATATGAACAAGAAATACTCAAGAACAAGCTGGCTAAGGGGATATCTTGCAAACAGAAAGGTATCAAAAGCAAACAGAACATAACGAGAGAAAGAAGAACGAGGGTACAAAAATGTCGAAGAGACCCGTTTACATCAGTTGGAAGACAAGATTAGAGGCCAATTCTCCGGTCTTATTCAGGAGATCACGGAAAGTCAGTGGAGCATCTCCTTCTGCATGGTGCACTTCCGGTCTATAAGTAGCTAGCTGCCTCACTTTGCACGCAACGTAGTGAGTTGTGAGTTTGCGAAGTCGGTTCTCCCTCTCGGAAGGGAGGTCTGCGCTAGCATCCAACGAAGGAAATCTCGGGTCATATGGCTTGGTGTTCTTGAACGTATAGTGTAGCAATTCTAATACATAGGGTATAGTACCGTTATCCCCATAGCCATGGCCAGATGATCGCAGAGGAAATGAGATCAATTCTCGATGGAGCTTCGTAAGGGCGAGCTGCGCAAGAGCCGGAACGAGGTAACGAGAAGCGAATACATAGATTTTGGCATGGTATAAGATGTAAGGAACGTCACGGGAGTCGCTGTTTGCTTGGGAATGGCTTAGAGGATTGGCCCTGCGTTCGTACTGTGGGTATTGAATTGCAGTGAATTCATCCCATAGAGACACACCAGCGGGTCGGGAAGATGGAAGGGGGAAGAAGGGTTCTCCTCTCTCAGAGCCTTCGGACTTGGATGTCCCGAGTATTGACTCTGCTTGAGTTGCCTGGAATTCAGGCCAATCGCCAGAATCCGTGTTTTGGGTTTCTTCGAGCTTTTCTTCAGGTTTCGCTTTAGGCTTCTCTTCTTGCTGAAATGGAACTACTGCAGTAACGGCCTCAGTATTTTTCTCATCAGTCACGGCAATATCTTTGACTTTTTCTTTATTCTCCGTTGGTGGGGGAGTCTTAGGGGGAGTGAGAGTGTTTGCAGCAGGACGCTCTTCAACTCCTTTTTTCTTTCCCTTTTTCTCTTTCTTGCCTTTCTTGCTCTTCTTCCCGGTGTCAGCGGCTCCCTTTGAATCATCTTCCTCTTCCTGGGGCTGGGGCTGGGGCTGAGGCTGAGGCTGGGGGCCCTCCTTCACAACAAGTGCCTGAGACTGGACCACGGCGGGCTCTTCCTTTGGAAGATCATCTTCGTCGTCCCAGATGGCGCATGAATCTTCTGGCCGTGGTGCTTTTGGAGAGGAAGGGGGCGATGGTGCCGGCGGCGGTACATGAAGGTTCGCAGCTGGGGAGCCAGGTTCTCCATATTCCGAAGACTCTGGTAGATCAGACCTGGTCTGACGAACGGGAACGGTATAATCTCCAGTGTACGCAAATTCACAGAAGCCAGTGAACGTCTCAACGTCTTCGTCCTCCAGCACTGCGATACGGTGCCGGGATTCGCGAGTATGGCCGTTGTTCATGAGCCCATCGAGCCGGGGAGACACATGTTTGGCAAGACCAGATTGGATGGTGACTTTAGAGTGGCCGGGTCCGATCAAGAATGTGAACTGAGGAGAGTTGATAATACTGTTTGTCCAGAAGAAGGCCACGGCTGGTCAGCGGTTATTCCATTTGGTATGCCTCTTCCATGCTGAGGGTATATTTCTTCAATGGCTTGGAAGAATCGCCATCACACAAATCCTTATAGACAGCCTAACCGCCGGTTGAAATAAAAGCGTACCTTCTGTAATCTGGGCCTGGAACTGAAGCCATTTTGCGCGAGCGTCAATAGAGAGCGCAAACTCCGGATTCCAACAGTCAACGGCGCGTAAAGCAGTTGTCGATATTGACTGAAATATCAACGGAATATCGCACAAACGCGGCTTTGAAAATTTTTTCTGAACAGGCGATGGTCCGAGTGAGAAGAAAAGAAAGCATAGCATGCAGCGGCGGCTTTCCCCTTCTTATAAACACTTCGGGTCATGACCCCCCGGCCGGCGCAGTTTCGAATACTCCTTGAATACCGCAAGGTAGGCGCATAAAGGATGCTGGCGCTTCAGGATCTTTGCTCCTGCATAAATGGCTCTCTGCCGCCCGGCCTACGTGTAGGTCAGCGACGCAGAAGCCCGTCTCGAACCAGCCTCGAGGCTGCAGATGCGAGTCTCAGGTTGGCAAGGTGTCCCGCAAAGCCCACAGCAATGCAAGCCTCGTCTCTATTCTTGCAGCGACGGGCTAAGTATGCAAGGCCGGAGACGGACAGACTTGCGGTGTCAATCCACTAATGGATGTGTGCCCAATGGGCGCGCTATTGCTGCAGCCATACCTTGCCGTATCTTGGCTGACTCGAGGGTATGGCTTCTCGAACCGCCGGCAGGCAGCAAGCTGAGGTCCAGCTAGAGAGCATGAGTTAGCTCGAGGGGCAAATCAGAGCCGTTTTGACGGTGAAGCTGGATAATCGGGTATAGGTACTGATGGACGGCTGCGCGGAGGTAGATAACTAGACGGCCAGCCGGCGCGCTACAAAGCACTGCATAATAATTCAGCATGCCAGACGGCCAGGCCGGCCTGTTTCAGCCTGCCCGTAAGGCCATCCATCCGGTGTTAGACTTCTCCATCGAAGTGTGTCGAGAGAGTTGAAAAAGAGTGGACGGAGTTTGGCGCGTTGAGGTGTTGTTATAACAAGCATCATCAGACTGGCAAATGCAATTGATACGTCATACCCACAATATAGCTAATTTACGGAGGTGTTGATACCTTCACAGATACTTGGAATAAATGGCATAAAATTCTGTATTCGAGCTCTATTCTAGGCATGTGTATACATTCTAGTTGAGAAAAAAGTACAATTATTTACAAGGTCGGTTTCGTCCAATATACGTCCCATGATCATCAACACATCCTCCAGCACTCAATGGACCAGCCTGACACTTCTAGTTCCCGGTTCCCATTCTCTCAGTCCAGTTCGAATCGTGTACCAGAATTTAAGCTTAGAGCACAGCTTCGTAGCACTGTCGATATCGCCCGACTCAAAAGCCTTACCCATTTCGTTCACCGTCTGCGCAATCCGCTCCTCATTTTCCACCTTCAAGTCGGCGATTACGTTCTCGTCTTCTGCCTCCTCAACGGCTTCCTGCACCTCCATCACCTGCATTAGGGTCTCGGGGCTTTGCGGGTGTTTGTTGGCGCCATCCTCGGCTGTCACGTCGATATCATACTGGGAGGCGAGAAGGTACTGCGCGCGAGCTAATGGATCCCCTAACGCACGGTAGGCTTCATTAATTCGGGACGATAGGGCTTCCGCTTTTCGCTTTGCTGGGCCTTCAGGAAACTTGTCCGGGTGTGCAAGGCCTTGGAGGGAGAGGAATTCGCGGCGAAGGTCGGGTAGCGAAATGTCAAATGCACCCTTTGGCGGAGGACCTTTCGGCAAAGTTTTGGGGAATATAGTGTAGTGTGTCGTAATATCAGGGATTTTTGCAGCCAGACCCGGTGATATATCTTCGGAGGTTGGTTGCGATGCAGGTTCGGCTCGTCTGGAAGCAGCTCTCGGTAGTGGGCTCTGGAAGGGCAGGGAGCATAGAGTGTTGAATTTCCGAGACTGAGAGTGTGTAAGCCGTCTGTATAGTCCGTTTTGACAGAGAAAACACTGTTCCTTGTCGCGTTGAGCAATTCTGCTGTACGTTTGGCCGAACGGTTGTCGAGCAGGCGTCGGTCCGATACGCCGGAAGACGGCGGAAGAGGGAATACTCTTGTGCATGGTATAGAGAAGTTATGAATGATAGAGCAATACAATATCTGCGATGTTTTGCTCTGGGAAACAGGTATAGTTCAAGGCGACGTGTATTTGTTGATGGCCGGCGCTTTTTTTTGATTTCAACTTTGGATGTTTGAGAAAGCGGCTATTTTTATCTGATGGGAATCTGTATCTGATAAGATAAGATAACTTTGATTTCTAATCAGAAATTTATTACGTAATTAATATGGTCGGAGTTAGCATTATATTCAATCCGCGTAGAGCGGCCAACCAATTAAAAATTCTGTTTATTTATTTATTATTTTTAATACTCTCGACGTCAAGCTTGACAATTATCAAATCACGCTCAGAGTTTCCGGCTATACAATGACAGATTTCGCTTTATCGAATTCTATGTCCCGTCAATAGAGCATGTATCTAGGGATATGGTATGAATAGTCTGGTACTCTTGGCGTATACGACGCTGAATTCATGGACTTCCGGCTACATTTGTTTCGGTTAGTGTTTCGGATGAACACCAATGGAGGGAATACGTTGATCGATAATTCACTCACAGACACAGATACCTATAGATGAGGTACTTGGAATTCATTTTGATGCAGTCAATAAACCGTCAAATTTCTCCTGTACTTGTTAAGTACCGGGAATTGGCTACAACCATGCACCTGGGATCATGCATACCCCGCAAGTTGTTGCTATATAACCCTTCCTCAATACTCGGGCTATACCATCTCTAACACAAGAGATATCAGAATTATGGCTTTTGCAGACTCTGATTTAATTGTTGTCACTGGTGCTAATGGCCATGTTGCACAGCATGTTGTATCGCAACTGCTGTCATTCCACGCCCCAGTCCGCATACGTGGGACAGTCCGATCCTCTATGGTAGCTCAGAAGCTTTATGCTGCGTTCGAACCGTTTGTTTCCAGTGGAAGACTTGAGATTGTTACTGTACCCGACTTGACAGTGGACGGTGCGTTCGACGATGCCACTCAAGGCGCAACACATGTAGCTCACATCGCATCTCCCCTGAACATGGCTCCAGAAAATGTTGAAAACGACCTCCTTATACCCGCTATTAAAGGAAACGTATGCATATTGGAATCAATAATGAAACAGATAGGAATAAAAGCGGTCGTCATAACTAGTTCTTTTGTTGCTGCGTTTGATGCACGTCATGGCTTCCGTGAGGGTTACACTTACTCTTCTGCGGACTGGAATCCAATTAGCTATGATGAGGCCGCTGACCCAATGCATGACATGAGTCAATACCCGGAAATGTGGCGGCCTTGGATAACTTACATGGCTTCGCGAAAGTTTGCAGAGAAGGCTGCATGGGATTTCTACAGGAAACATCAACCTACGTGGGCTCTAAGCACACTATTACCGTCGTTCATTGGAGGCCCATTCGTTCTACCGTTGACAAAAGGTACCGATGGCTTAACTTTCAGCACCGGCTTGATCCGGAGAACTGCATTGGGGGGTGAACCGTTATTCCGTAATGACTTTCCTTACTGGGTCGATGTGCGAGACGTTGCGAAGGCGCATATCCAAGCCTTGATAACCCCTGCTGCGTGGGGTCAAAGACTAATGTTAGGCCCATGGCCGTTGCTTTTCTCGGATGTAGGACACTTCACCCCTGGCTTGTAGATCTACAATCAAAAAGCATAGCTAACCATATTTTCCAAAAGATCGCCAGAATTGTCCGGGAACACTATCCAGAAATGAACCTATCTAGGGAGAAAAAACAACAGGTGACCGCTGTGGCTGAATCCTCGTTAAAAATGGAGTCTAACTGATTGATACAGGTGCATCACTATAGCATTGACTCGGGGTCATCGTTATCTATCCTAGGAATAGACTCCTGGATATCGCCCGAACAAATGATTATTGATTTGATAAAGCAGCTCAAGTGGATAGAGCTTGGTGATGCTTTATGAGCCTGCTCCTACCCTCGCTGGGGTCATGTACTTGATTAAACCAGCCCCAGCTCTGACTCCAACACCCAAAACAATATATTAGAACCTCTACAACCATTTATCTTACCTAGATGAACGTCAACCAGCTTAAGACCATCTGTACTCGGGGCTGGTATGTGGGAAATCTCACTTTGTGATATATCAGCTGCAAAGATCCTGGCCATCACTACCGAGCATGTCTTGAGTAGCCCGTAGGCACTACTCCGTTTCATATGCAATAATCCAAACGAACAAGGCTGTGGTATCATTGAAACTTCAAGATCGCTTAACCAGCCAGTTGACGCCCATCAAATCCTTTGGCTTGACACTCAAGTTAAAGTCTGGCTGGGCATTGGATGGCCAATATTACAACCAGCCACCAGCGTCTGACCATAATACTGCACTGGTATTTAACCCGGGTTGAAGCTGGTCCTGATGGTTATACTCCGTATGCCTCGAGGTATCTCAACAGAAACGGATAACTGTCCACAAGCTACTCTATGACCGACGGATAGCCGTGACCAAACATTGGAGACGGCAAAGGCTGAGGCTCAACCCTGTTTCAACATGAAAAGCCTTATCCCGTCGATCCTCACAAGCCTGAATTTGAAACAACTGTGGTAACTATTTTACAGGACAATTCACAGAGGTACTCCGTAGTTATGAGCACATTCCGAGTGATGTATAGGCAGGCTCTATCCCAGGTATAACCTGTTAGTTATCTATGCAACTCTCAAAAGTAGACTATCTAAACAAGTGGCCTATTATACGGTCAAGGGCCCTGGCCTACCATGGGCGAAGAGCAAAGCGGCCATTAACTAGGTATTATTGGCCGATGGAGAAGTCCGCCATGCTGTCATCAGTTACCTGGCCATCCAGGGAATGATAATAATATAGCTGCCTCGCTGCCCTCTTCCTCCTGTGGCTGTGCAGCCAGAAACACCGAGAAAAAAACAAGACGCAGACGTAATAGCGGACCAGTGATATAACTAACTTATATGCATGACAGTACGATACATCATGGCTCTCCTAAACAACCCCACAGCCCACGTCCAACCAGCTGTTTCAGGCCGGCCGGGCTCCCGATATATTTAAAGAGCTCCAAAGGGTGAGCTTCTCATGGACTCTTAGCGTGACGGGCGTGTACGACGCTGAAGGAAGCAAAAAAGACAGGCCCATATTACTATATTCATATACCGCTTGCCAGCATCCCGAGACATTGCTGTATCCCACGGCCTCTCACCGCTAACTAACCTATGGCTGCTTCATTCGAATTACGAGCTCGTAAATCAATATCGGCCTTCGAGAAGGCCAGCCTGGCGAAGCTAGCGTGGCTAAGAAAGAACCATAACGGGGTGATACAACAGGATACCCAGCCTCTGTATGAGCTCTTCTCCATTACAAGTGCTTTATATATGTCCCCAAGACTGGGATATTGAGGATTATATGGAATATTTGTTTGTTTCTAACAGCTCATCATAGAAACATAAGCAAGCCATTTTCGTGCTGGGATGAATTACCGGTCGAACTGGTGGTCAACATATTCGGTCTCTGTCGACTCCAGGACCTAGGAAGTCTGCTCCTCGTTTGCCGGAAGTTCTGGTATCTTTTGCAGGTTCACGAGGAGGCCATCACCAGAGAGTACTTGCGTATTCGGCGGCATGGGACACTGCCGTCTCGAAACCACAAACCGAGCCATTACACAAGGGCGCCGGAAGATGATGTGATATTGCTATCGGACCTGTTCCCGCCGTTTGTTGAAGATACCAGTGGCCGAGAGCATTATTCTTTTAGGTATTTGGCGGACCTACGACGGAGGCAGGAAGTCTGCTCGAAATTATCTTATTACCTCGCAGACCATGTACTAGATCGGTTCATGGAGGAGAACCCTGGCTGGGTAAAGTCTTTATCACATCTACCGAAACCGACGCAGCAGAAGATTATGGATCGCGGCAACGCCCTTCTTAAGTCGAAATTGACTCCTCTCATGCAAGTCAACACTTCATTCTATGATTCTTTTCCGGATTGAAAGTCCATTTTTAGCATGTACTCTAACACATTCACTAGGTTTTATACGATGTATTTTCTGAAAAAGTACGATGAAGCACGGTTGGAACTGCAGGATTCCCTTTATGAAGCATTCGAAGCTGGAAAGCTCCCAGTACCTGTCCAGCCCCGTGATCGGTCAATTATGTACCTCTCTCTTCAAACAAAGATACTCCAAGCCTACCCTTTCCTCGACTCCCGGGCACTAATATCAGCTCACCACTGTATCCGGCTACTAATCTTTTCACTCCATCGCGTTCTTGTTGCGGAGACACCTGTCACTACATCATGCGAGAAGTTCATTATCATGCTACTCTCTACCTCTGGTCTAGAACGAGTAACGGAATTCTTTGCGGCCGAGAAGGGCGGGAGCAATCAGCGTGCTATGAGAAAGGAATTTATGCGCAAAACACAGCTGGACTGGGACAACTACAGGAATGACCCCAAGGCCCTGAAAGTGTTTGATGCATTGAGCGGTGATTGTCACTATCCGCCACTAATGACCGAGATATGGACTGGACCGGCAATAGAAGAGATCTCCAGGAGAAAATTACTTATACAGCACTCCAATGAAGATTTTGTGACGCTCTGGAATGATGCACATATCAGCCTTGGCTGCAGTTATTGTGCGAGAACGAATGCGAAGATAAAGTGGCAGGCTTGATATACGAACGATCGAATTTGACATGACGTAAAAATTGTTGTTTCTATTAGTTTCATATTTTTTACCCCTTTCGTTGGGCGTTTATCTTGTTGATTTACCTATAGAATTTATGATACTCCATCCTACCTTAGGCCACATTTATTTTAATGATATATCCTGGAATCCTTTCTACTGGCCCCTTTTGTTGGAAAGACGGTGGTACATTTACCTACCCGCAGTCATATTAAAAGAACAGGGCGAAGAATAACCAGCAAACAGTACTACTTGACTAGTGCTGTGTTTACATCGTTTCTATATCCGGTGATGGATGTCGGTTAAGCTGAGCGGAACGGGCCGTAATTAGGCGACCCGTGCAGGTAATCAAACCTCGACAGCCGCTCGGCTATGTTCATGTTGTACTACTACATAATGCTGAGTGCTTCTACATTCTACCCATGGTTTATATCTTGTCATCATATCTTTTATTAGATCATTTGTTACTGTGTTTGGCCCAGGGAACACTACGGGGCTGTAAAGTGGGAGCCACCCAATCGGTAATTTGCCTGGACACCAGGCACGGCGCAGTAGCTGCGTTTGGAATACATCAGCCCCTGGTTAGGTATTCCCGCACAGTAGTGGAGCGTATCGATTTCCCTTGTACGTGCTCTTGATTGAAAATTTGGTATATACCATTTGCCCCCAAGAGGTATATCGAGTTGGACTTTTTGAGTATTGATAGCCACACCGGATCTTCGGCAACGTTTTATTCAATACCCCATAGCTTCACAGTTCGATCGTGCCCGCAACTCGCTATCCACTTTGCATCGGTACTTATATCAGTGCTGAGGACGTTTCCGGAGTGACCTTGCAGCGATTTCACAAGTGACCAGTCGTCCGCACTGAAGATGTTGACATTCTTGTCAAATCCACTAGAAACGAAGAAAGTTCCTGATTTTTTCGGCTGTGGAGGCTGGTCCGGTTGGTCCTTCATTGGTGTGGATGTTACATCCATCATATCCCCATTCTGGTCGAGCCCTGAAGTAGTTGGTAGGAGTGAGGCAGCGTCGCTCCCCTTGTACCATCTTAGATCTGACACAACGCTCTTATGTGCACCTACTCCACCAGTACCACGAACTTGCCGGAGATCCCAACACTTGACCCAGCCATCTCCTGATCCAGACAGAATACGGTGTCCGTCTATTCCCCAATCCAAAGCATATATCTCGCGGATATGGCCCTCTAGAATCATAACTGTTCGACCAGTGCGTAAATCCCAGATACGTCCAATACTGTCAAGGCCACCGCTAGCCAGAAGTGAACCATCAGTGTTGAATCCTAGTGCGTAAACTCCACGAGAGTGACCCTCTTGTAGGAGAAGTTCTTGGCTCGTTTGTACATCCCACAATCGCCAGGTGGTATCAAAAGATGCAGAGGCAAGATATTTCCCTGATGGGTGAAATTCCACGCGACATACTCGGTCAGAGTGTCCAGAAAGTGTTCCAATAAAAGTATCTTTATCAAGAGACCAAAGCCTGATATTCCCTTCCGCACCTCCCGTAGCAAGATTCAAAGACGATTCGGAGACATTCGATTCGGGCAGCGTAGCCCCTGGGAACCACGATATACCACCAACTCGATCTGTATGTCCTCGCAGATTCGCCTTTTCCTCCAAATTCGGGACTGTAAGTAGCTTCACACCTCCGCTCCAATTACCCGCAGCCACTATTTCTCCATTTGGGGAAAACCTGGTGATGCTCACGGGCCGGTCTCCAGCAATCTGAGAGCCATAAAGTTCAAAATGGCCGAGTTTCTCCCTTATTGCTTTTCTGTGCTTAACGTGTGTTCGGAGAGGTATGGTAGATTCGGCCTTTTGGCGTTCTACCCTTGCCTTTGCTCTGGGTATTGAATATCTTGCAATCTCCCTCCGTGCCTGGAGTAAATCCTGCGAGCCTTCAGTGTAGAATTCCTCCTCTTGGTCTTGGTCTTCCTCCTCTGCTTCCATTCCTCCCATGCCGACATCTTCTTCACCAGCTTCACCAGCTGCAGCCTGTTGTTCCTCCAAGTCCGCTAATACTTCTCTCAGTCTGTCACGTCGGTCCGTAGAGTCTTCACCAAATAGGGTAATTGGGTGGCCCAACTCCCGTAGCCGAGCCTTTACTCGTCCATCGTCTGTAGGTACAGCAATAGCGGCTGCTCGTCGTTTTCGTTCGAACTGAGATAATATGGCAGAAGCTTTCTCGGGAGCTATTCCGGCAGCAGCAGAGGGAAGCTCGTAGTCATGGTCCACGGCTATTGGAAAGACCTGTTAGTAAATGCGCGCGGATATCGAGACGCCGTGAAGGAAACATACGAATATTCGCAAGGTCTACTCCCATGTCCGTGTCCTAATCACCTCAAATAAGACCATAAATCAGCTTCTATCAATTGACGTATGTGGTGTCTGTCAGCCATGGTTCATTGCTTACCTCCTGCGCTTCCTCCACATAGGCGCGCCGTGCGGGATGCATGGCTCCCTGACTTCCAGACCAGATCCTGAAGCTATTCCGAGTATATTTAGCAAGCTGACGGCGGCGCAATCTGTCTGGAGGCAAACAGTGGCAGCGGGTTGAAGCTGATCGTGAGCTTTCTTTTGCGGCTGGCGTGAGATTTCTTCTTGGCTGCGGACGTGAGGCGACTTTCATATATTTATTTCCGCGGTGAGCAGGACTCCTGGCAATCAACAACCAACGGCCAGGCTAACCACGCTTCTCGAAGACGGCCGGGAGGATCCAGAGGGATTAAAACCTGAAGGTCGATCACTCAAGCTAAGGATTCGCCCTTTTTCATGCCGTGATACTTTCTGTCCGAATATTTTTTACTATCGCCGAAGCACCAGTCGGCGCGCCTTTGGACTCCTCAACCGCGGGCTACACTGTGCAAATGCGCAGAGGAGAACCTGGTCATTGGACGGCCGCGGACTGGGAGGACAAGGGAAACTCGGGCATATACTTCTGATGGCGACGGTGGCGCTCCCTTCAAGGGCTGCTTCGTGCTTTGTCCAGGTGCCACGATACGGTCTCTACAATATTAATATCCTGCCTCGAAGAACACGCCGAGTCTGCGTGACGACTACGAGAAGACAGTATAACGGAGGCCGGAGGGAGTTTAGCAGTGGGAGTCCGTTGGAATCACGGCCGAAGATATCCTTTCGACTGGCGGTATCGTCTTCTGGAAAGGGGCGACGATTCAGTCCGGACAGGAACTTCTACAACTTCCACCCGCAGGTTCACGATGCGCTGGGAATACAAAGCCCGAATTACTATGACCGGAAAGCCAACAGGCCTGATAGCGGGGAGGACTCATTCTTCATCAGCAAAATCGGGTACGACAATGAGGCCTTTGCCTTTGGAGTGGCGGACGGAGTCGGAGGATGGAGCGAATCTGGCATTGATCCTGCGGATTTTTCGCACTCTTTCTGTGGACACATGGCTGAGACAGCCCTGAACTGGGAGTCTTCCCCTGAGAGCTTACGAGCTATGACACTTATGCGGCTTGGATATGAGAAGACACTGTTGGATAAGGCCGTCTTTGCTGGGAGTAGTACGGCTTGTATTGGAGTTGCTCGAAAGGATGGTTCGGTTCAACTCGCGAAGTATGTACTGCTCTTTTCATAACCTGTTGCTTGAATGCTAAGCTGACTACGCTCTACAGTCTCGGTGACTCTGGATCACTTCTCTTCCGCCTGGCTGCAGTTCACCATTACTCCGTCCCCCAGACCCATGATTTTAACACCCCATACCAACTCGCGGCCGTACCAGAGTTGATTCGACGGCAGTCCTATCTGTTCGGTGGAAAACAGTTTGAAGACATGCCTCAAGACGCGGCAGTAACTAATTGCTCGCTACAGCACGGAGACGTCCTGGTCCTTGCCACGGATGGTGTGTTTGATAACCTGAACAACCAAGAAGTCTTGAAGCTAGTAACTGCTCGGATGATGGCCACCGGGGCATGGACTGGTACCTCGGATATGGGAATTTCTGCGTCTGATAACCTGGAAGCCCTGACGAAGCCCGGAGGCCTGAAATTCGGTAACAACCGGATAAAACCCAAGAAAGCAATTGCTGCTTCTGAGGAAGCGGATCCGCAAGGCAAAGGGCATACTCTACAAGCCCTCTTGGCTGTTACCATAGCCGGAGAGGCTAAGATTGCCAGCATGGACTTTCGACGAGACGGACCTTTCGCAAAAGAATACCAGAGATATCGTCCATGGGATCATTACCGGGGAGGCAAGCCGGACGATATCACTGTCGTCGCTCTGGTAGCCGTCGAAGAAGGTCGATCTCCTGCATCTAACCCGTGAATTATATTATACACCTCGATACCCCTTTTCTCTTGAAAACCCAGCGCGAGAAATTTATATCAATCTATTTACTGCTGTCTTACCGATTGATCTGCAATCGACCAAACCCCCTTTGATTTCCTCTTTTGGGCCTCCCTTAGACTATCTGCTTTAATTGCATATTACGGGGCATCTTTTTTATCTTCTTCACTGTGTGAAGATGTATATTGCGTTTATGCCTTTCCCTTGTTTATTATTCGGGCGGTAAGCTGGCCTTTGGAGACAAGATGGTGTATAAAATATTATAATAGGTTTTTGGACCTCAAATAGAGAACGTTTTACAGACAATTTATGGCAAGAGACGAAGCCAATTGCAACAACCAAATACTACACTAGGAATGATTTCAATCTAGCTGATGATAAACCGTTCAATCGTCAGGCCTATATGAGACAATCTTTCCCCATGTGTCTGCAGTTCCCCAGATACCCCTTCTCAGACAGCTCAGCTGGACGATCTGTGAATTATCAACAAAGAGATTGACGTCGATGCCGAACTCACGAATATACCAACTGAACACTTTCGGGTCGGCGGCTACCAGCAATAAATCAGTTCAACGTGCTATGACAGAATATATAAGAGAAATCTTACCTTCGAACATGACCTTTTCCTGGGGCAGCTGCTTCATGATTTGCGAAACAACATCTGTCCTCCAGCTCGTGACGTTTTCAGTTATGCCTTCACTTTCAATCATGAGGCGCTCAACTCCAGCATCAAGGAATTTTTTACCCAGGTTGATCAGCTTCCCTGGGTCACTTGTGCCAATAGCCTCAAGTTCACTAGTCGAGGTGTCTGTTATTCGCTAGTTAGACACGGCTTCTCACAGTTTCAAAAGAGGGAATACGTGCCTCCTCCGGCACCGAACTGGATTCCCAGCTCTGGCTTTGGTTTCAGACCATATGACTGCACTCTTTCGATGAGTCGTAACCAGTCGTCTTCTGGGATTGATAGGAAACCAGCAGACAATTCAACAACGTCGAATCTTGCATGGACTTAGTTAATGCTGGATTGACTATTTAGGTTGGATGGAAGAGTAATACCCGAGATCTTTGCATTTCCGGAAGTATCTATCCAAAACGGTGGTGTTATCCGGATGAGTTAGAAGATGTTCTGCCCATCCTCCCTGTTTCGAGCTAGTTAATTCAAGGCTACTTTACTAGATGGATGAAAAGGAGGCTTACCGTCGAGACATAAGCACCGTTCTCATGAGCAATGTCAATCAACTCTTTCAACTTGGCCTCGTGGAAGAGTGAGAACGATCCTACCAATGTTAGTTTCAGTGAAGGAGAGAAGATGCTCAGACTTGACCAACCTCCGGAGAACTTGAGTCCATCGACATAGTCGCCCATGCTGTTCAGTTGTCAGCAATTTGGTATCTTGGGCACATGTAGCGGCACCCTTACGTCTCAAATATATCAGAGAGATATCTCTTTCCCATTACCTAGACCAAAAAATCAGCGAGTTATACAGGAGGTCAACTTTTTCATCAACTGCAGCCGTACCGCATAATAAGGCCCTCGAATCTCCGTTACTCCTCTCTTCCTTGGCTTTGGAGGGAGAGCATTCGACTTTGCGAAGCCCAGGCCCTGCTGCTTGTCTAGTAGAAGTGCCTTTGGCCCTTGCCCAGCCGTACCTTTTGAGAGTGCAGATGAGGTAGAAAGGCCTCTCTGCAGGTGTACTTGGGACTGAAGTGCAGGGCATCTGAGCGCCTGTCTGGTTGTATAGAGTGATTTGGAAGACAGCATTTTGCAGTGAAACCGGATCTTCTGTCAGTATATAGAATAGAGTAGTTTCATATGTGTTTTAATATGTGTTAGAAGTCGTCTACTCTCCTTATCCTCCGGGTATTTAACTAATAGCTGTAGCTTGGATAAGTTGTCAACATCATGATGTCATTGTTGGATACGGTGGATTTAGAGAAGTCCGAGCTGAGTGACAGCATATCCCTATAGCTGTTGACCCTGATACTGGTCTATTATTCTCTTGCAGTCTCATAATTCTATTGAGCAGCATTGTATAGCTGCTGGCATCCGTGGGCGTTCTATCAAATCTTCTATCAATTCTGTATCAAGTCCATAGTAGATAGATCTACCAAATGACCAAGTATCAAGACAACAACCTACACCGATAGATAATATATTCAAGTCCAAATAGAGTCTAAATCATCTAGTAACAAGTTATATCAGCAGTATTCAATGCATATCCCGTGAATGATAAAGGGTGTCTTTTACATATCTCATTCTAGTTGATCTCAGCAATATAAATATACATACAACTATACAATGACCAAACACAGCAGCCAACTAGCAAATATTCCTCTACACTATTAATTAACCTCCTCTAGGCCTATTATTCATCTCATCTTTCCTTCAATTCATCATTTATATCATCTTTTTACAATAGAATAACGTCTAGATACTCGATACCCTAATGCCACGGCCACTTCTCTAGCCATCTCCTTAATGCCACTCACCACTATCTCTGACCTTCTTCTTCCACGCACTTCTCCCTCGAGGCCACGACTTTCTGCCTTTCTTCGCCTTTTCTCGTCGCTGCAAAAAGTCGAAAAACTTCAACTTCTGCGGCTTCTCGAGCTTTTTCGCCTGTTACGACCGGATCTGCTGCTTTATTCTGTCCTGGAGGAGTTTCTACGCTTGTGTATTCCTCCCTTGCCACGGCAGCACGCTCGACCGTGTGTTTCTCGAGCGCGGGCGGCTTCATATCCGAAGCAGCGCGGCGGCGTCTTTTGCCTGCCATCTACATATACCCCCCCAAAGGCTACACTACCAGCCAGATACAAAGGACACCAAGAGAAAGAGTACTTCAGAGGACAAGGAAATACATCTTCCCACCAGGAGTGACGTCCAGAGACATTGAGTGACCTGCGTTGCGCGGGCAGCTTGTCTCTCTGAGCTCTGCAGCGCTCGATAACCGGCGGCTTCACCACCAGCCACCGCGAACCCCGGGCAGACAGACGGACAGACAGACAGACAAGACATTACAGACTCTCTGCCCGCAGCCCTCGCAGAGACGAAGACGATCCTCCGCCGACCGTCGTCTGTCCATCTCTGCGCCCGCCAAGTGGACGGCCGGCCAGCAGGACAGGGGTTTCTACCGACTTCTACGGCCTGCCGACGAGCTGCGTCAACTCCTCTGCCACCCTCTGAGGCGCTGATACCGGCCTGCAACCGCTCTCTACGCCCGTAACCGACCGCCTCTGCCGCCTCTACAAGTGCTGGACAGTCGCCGTTGTTGCTTCGCCCGCCAGCCTCTTTTTTTGCGTTGGTTGCCTGTCAATCAACAACGCGTTTTTCCTGTTTCACGCCATTTTTCGCGCACCCAAAAAAAAAAAACTCCATCCACTCCGAGCCAGCGCTGAGAAAAACCCAACCACAAAATTTCCTCGGCAACCCGACCATCCACCCATCACCACCACCACCCATCGCCTGCCTGCCTGCCAGCCACCACCGTTCGCTGTCCGTCCATCGCTCGTCTGCCTGCTACTCTGTCCGCCATGGCTGACACTGGTAAGACCTGCGCCGCCCGTCCCTGCCTGTCCGTTGATGGTGACGTTGGAGAGCTAACTCGTGTGTTGTTGTGTTTTTTCCTGCAGAACCTACCAAGACTCCAGAGGCATCGCGTCCTCAACAGCAGGAACCCGAGCCTGTCAGCAAGGAAGCCGGTCAGTCCAATGCCTAATACCCTCCCGATACCTCCGTTCTGGCCTTTTGCTCGCCTTCCCCCCCCCCCCTTTTTTTCTCTAGTTTTTTATGTTGTTCCGAAGGGCTGACCCAGGTCGCGACTTCAACTACACAGACGCGGAACCCACCACTGACGCAGCCGACAAACCCCAACCCGAGTCAACAGACATTGCTGCAGAAGAGAAGAAGCCAGCCGAAACCAGCGCTGACGCGGAGGCAGCTGCCTCTGCGGACAAAGCTGATGGCGGGGAGGGTGGCGAGGCTGCTGGTACGACCGACCAAGCTGTCGCCGAAACAGCTACGAATGGCGCTTCATCTGGCCCCAAGAAGGCTGCCAATGGCAAACGCAAGTCGACGGCCGGCCCTGGCCAGAAAAAGCTCGGCAAGAAGAAGTCAATGAACCGGATATACCACCTGGATGTGCAGCCAGGAGAGGTCTACCTTGCACGAATGAAGAGTCATCCGCCATGGCCGTCCATTGTCTGTGACGAGGAGATGCTTCCTCCGAGCCTACTCAGCACGCGTCCAGTCACTACTAAGCGAGCAGACGGCACATACGCCGAAGCTTACGGTGACGGAGGAAAGAAAGTGAATGAGAGGACATTCCCGGTCATGTTTATGGCCACTAACGAATTGTGAGTGAACCATCGCCCATCACTAGTCCTCCTTCACTTCGGTCTCGCTTTGGCTGCAACGAGATATATTCTTGTGGCGCTCCTTGACTAACACTTGTTCTACTCGTAGTGCCTGGATTCATAACGCCGACCTCACCCCCATAACTCCAGAAGAGTGCAAAGACGTTTCAGAAAAGGGCAAATCTAAGAATCTGATCGCTGCCTACCAGGTAGCCGCCGAGGGTCACGACCTCGACTATTTCAAGCAAATGTTGAACGATTTCGAGCTTGCCGTACAGCAAGCCCAAGAGGAACAGGAAGCAAAGGCTGCTGCAAAGGCTGCAAAAGAAGAGAAGAAGAAGAAACGAAAGAGCATGGAAGTCGTTGAAGGGGCGGAAGATGAAGAGATGGAGGATGCAGGAGAGAAGAAGAAGAGTACTAAGAAACGCAAGAAGGACTTGGAAAGCGAAGGGGAACAGGAGAAGGTAAGCCGAAATGCCATGTCCGATATATAAACCAGCTGCCGCTGTCTGCAAAGTCGTGGTACGATCGCCCGTAGAGAAATACGGATGCTAACCAGGAATCACTGTAGCCCGTGAAGACGCCCAAGTCCGCCACGAAACTAAAGCTCACTACGCCTAAGAATCCCACTGCTGGTGAGAAAGGTGCGAAAAAGGCTGCTACGACCGGAAAGTCGTCCAAGGGGAAGTCGAAGAAGAAGGCAGAGGCCAGTGACGAGGAGGTAGAAACCCCCAAGGAAGCCGAGAAGCCAGTCGATCCGCAAGAGGCCAAGGCTAAGCGTGAGAAAGAGAGTGCGTATCATCCAGTTTCCAGCTCCTATCAAAGTCTTGATATTAATGCTTGTTTCCAGTTCTATATCTTCGATACAAATTGCAGAAGGGCTTTCTTACGCGTGACCAGGCACCAGAGGAGTCCGAGATGGAGTTGATGTCCACATATATCAACAAGCTGGAAGCCTACACTGACCTCGAAGTGAGCATCATTCGATCTACCAAGATCAACAAGGTGCTCAAGGCCATCATCAAGCTGCCCACCATCCCCAAGGAAGAAGAATACAACTTCCGAGGACGATCCGTTCAGATTCTATCCAGGTGGAAGCAGCTCCTAGAATCTGACATACCCTCGGCGGGCGAGGGATCTACTCCCGCAGACAAGCCGACATCCAACGGCGTGCACAAGAAGGGCAGGGGCGGAAAGAAGGCCGAAGTAAAAAAGGAAGAAGAAAAGAAGACCGAAGAGGCCGATGAAGATACCGCTGAGCCATCCAAGGACGGTGACATCTCCATGGCTGACGCAGATGATGAGAAGCCCGAGGCTGAAAAGGATGAGAAAGTGGCCAAGGAAGAGGAGAAAGAGAACGAGAACGAGAACGAGGAAAAGGAAAAAGAAGAGGAGGCTGGAACTCCTGTAAAGGATGCTGATGCCATGGAGACATGAACTAAACAGCCATACCTGTGAAGGCTGTGCTCGTTTGTCCTAGCATACTATACGGCCTGCAATACACCATGCATTCTTGCAGAGTCCGTTATTCCAAGAACAAAATGACTTTGATACAAAAGCCTGAAAATCAAACATACCCGTGCTTTTGAACTGCTCACTTCTACTTTTTACAATCCAGCTGGGCCACCATGGCGGAAAAAATTGTACCCATTTTCTTTCCTCAACTCGACCTCCTCCGTCTCCTACTATCCTGCTTCCAAAATCAGGGAAGCCCCAAAGCGATGATTCGTCCTGCCTTCAACCGCCTTGGCCAGCCTATTACAATTGTTTCTTATTCCGTTAAATTCGTTCTCTGGACTGTCTGTGTATTATGCTGCGAATTTTGTGTGTACTTTGTTAATGCTACAGGGCTCTTTTTTCATAATTAATTCCCTTATTATTATCATATATTTCGGCCTGGTTATTAGCCCCCTTTGGCCTGCATCTCCGTCTCTTAAGATGTCTGTCTACTGGGTGACTGGCGACTCCTCCCTACTAGTTATATCGCCGGAGCTGCATGCTAATAGAGATAGTTTAGCTAACTGCATGGCTCCATCAGCCCCTTTTCCCCGAGTCCTTGAAGATATCGACCGTAAGTCCCTTCTATAACGTGCACAACGACCACTTTTCTAACTTTCTAGGCCAGTGTAACAGCTATCAGCTCTAATAAAATGGTCCGATTCTTTGTTTCTTCTACCAAGGCTTACTCGCCTTTGTCTTGTGCTTTGGCCGCTATCAGCACTCAATAGCATCGCTAGCTAAGAATAGCCGACTCGACGACGAGATGATTGGCCGCCACCGTCGACGCGGGTACCCAGCGATGTATAAATAGCCAGCTGACGACCTCACTGCATGGCCTGCTTTGCGTTCAGCCGAGTGGTTGATGGCTATGCGACTACATAGCATCCTGGTTTCCTAGAGGACCAGCCAGAAGCGCAGCCATGCATGAATTGAGCTCAATGTCCGATCTTCACCCCGTACACTATCCATCTAGGACTACCGCTGACCATCTATGCAGCTACCCTTCAGAACACTCGAAAGACGACATAGACACGGCTGATAGCGCATCCATATGCGATGGCGGTGCCGAGCAGGACAAGCTACTCTCTACTTCCAGTCGTATCCCAGAAGAGGACGAGGAGGGGCCTTGTTTGTACGAGTCAGCGCAGGAGAGCTTCGCAAAGGATCCGTTTAGACCGTTCCCTTTGCCCGGCTCCTCAAGTGCCCGGCACGAGAAGAAGATTCTAACCTTCCGAGCACTGCTTGTTGGGATCTCGTGCGGTGCTTTGGTGAATGCATCGAACATATATCTGGGTCTCCGAGCTGGCTGGACCTCGTCAGCAAACATATTTGGCGTAAGCCTATTCGACCTTGGTTACTTGCAAATTAATACCCTTTCTAACGTCATCTGTAGTCGATTATAGGGTTTGCAGTGCTCAAATCATGGTCTTCCTATTTTGCGCCCTCATCTTTACTAGGCGGTTTCTTCGGGCCACAGGAGAACAACATTGTTCAAACGGCTGCTACGGCTGCTGGGGGTCTATCGAGTGTGTTTGTCTCTGCATTCCCGGCAATGTATCAGTTGAATTTGCTTGATACCCCATGGAGAGACTTTCTACGTGTTACCGTGCTTACTGCAGCCGGTGGATATTTTGGTCTATTCTTTGCAACGCCTCGTAAGTATTTGGTTTCAATAGCTAGTTTTACTCTGATTACTGTGCTAATCAGCATATATCAAAGTGCGTAGATTCTTTATTTTCCAAGTTGCTAAGGAGCTCAATCTTGTCTTTCCATCTTCTTCCGCGACCGCAATCACGATTTCAGGCATGCATCTTGCCGCTAGAGGGTCATGGCTGGCCCGTCGGAAGATGGTGGCTTTAGCGTTTGCTTTTGCATTTGCATTGGTGCTTAGGGTTATGTCTCAATATGCTCCTGGAATTCTTTGGGTAAGCAATAGTTCTAACAAGCTATCTGTGCGGGATTCCGGCTAATTTGGAACCTTTTGACCGTGGTAACTATAGGACTGGCATATTTTCACTTGGCTTGCGCTTTCAGGGGTTTTACCTTCGACTATGTTTGCCATTCAGAGCTGGGGTTGGTTTATAGAGTGGACACCGGCGTTTATAGGTACTGGAATGCTAGTTGATATGAACGTTGCATTGTCTTTTGTTTTTGGATCTGTGTTAGCATGGTGAGTCTATCTTATATTGCTACTCAGCAACTGTCGAATTCAACTCATTGATAGGGGTATTATCGGGCCATTTATTACAAAACACGGACTTGCATTTGGTGAACCGGTTTCAGAAGATAGTAAATGGGATGGGTTGATGTCATACATCTCTTTCTCAAAGGAGTTTGCCAATGCAACTCATCCTAGCCCTAGGTATTGGCTTCTATGGCCTGGAGTTGCGTGTATGATAGTTGTCGGATTCACAGGTACGAATATTGCGTGTTGACATCTATTTGCTACTATCAGCCACTAACCTAATGATAGAGCTCGCCTGTCAATGGAAGGTTTTCTGGCTTACAGGAGTAGAGATATACAAAGCCTGCAAGAACATACTGTCGCGGCTGCAAGAAAGCAGGCATAAATATGGACCTCTCACTGAAGAAGAAGATCTCAAGGTAGATCAAGCTATCAATGGAGGAATTAAAATGTGGATGTGGTTACCGGGACTTATTGCTGTCCTTATATTGACCTGTGTGGTGAGCAAACTGCAGTTCGATATCCCAGTTGCTTCTTCGATTCTCTCACTGGTCCTGGCATTCACCTTTTCAGTCATTGCCATCCAATCAACAGGCGCAACAGGTATGTATTCACATCCCTATACTATATCAGAAGAAGATACAATGTGATGTTGACTATAGTCTAGATATTACACCCCTTAGTGCCATTTCAAAGGCCTCCCAGCTAGTTCTAGGAGCGACAACTCGTGGCCCAGAGTGGAAACTAGAGAGTTCCCAAAAGGTTAACTTACTCGGAGGAGCTTTAGCTAGCATAGGTGCCAATCAAGCCTGTGGTATGGTTTCTATACTTCCCGCTTCTAGAATACCTGAGCTAACCAACAATAGACCTCACGGGAGATTTCCGAGTCGGATTTCTGCTTAACACTCCGCCATGCACACAGTATGCTGCCCAAGCCATAGGAACATTCTTCGCCGTCTTCCTCGCCCCTGCGGTGTTCTCTGTGTTTGCTAGTGCATATCCTTGTATTCTATCTACAGGTGATGAAACACATAGCAAGAACGGAACCACGGGTCAGACGTGCCCATTTACAGCCCCTGCTGCCTCCGCGTGGCGTGCAGCAGCAGTGGCCGTAACAGATCCCGAATTTCCCGTCCCTAAAACCAGCGTACAGTTCTCCATAATGATGTCTGTCATAGGCTCAATTGTGGTCCTGGTTCGGCATCATCTGTGGATAGGCAAATGGGCATGGATGCGTAACTACCATCCAAATATGATGACTATGGCTATGGCCTTTCTTATTCCTACCACGCAGTACAGTACGGCCATGCTTATTGGTACAGTGATAGCCATGGTATGGAAAAGAAGGAATAGCGGCTCTTTTGAATCATACGCGTATGCTGTAGCAGCAGGATTCATGGCCGGTGAAGGAATTGGTGGCGTAATCAATGCAGCCTTGACCATAATTGGCATCGACGGTGCACATCTAGGAACCAGTATTGGCTGCCCAGGAGGCGAATGTTGAATTCCAAGCCCTTAATGGCAAAGGAAACCAATTTTTTGGCTTTTGAATTTCTATACGTCCTCAAGTTTTCTCAAAGAGTTAAGCTTGGTTACGTTACTAGTTAACTAGTTGACATTTAGATGAAGCGTACATATAATGTGGTACACTTCCTTTATTTGTTTGCAACTTTCATAGTAAAAAAGATGTTTACTTGCCCATGCTCTTAGCTGAAGTACCCAAGGCGTGGACCAGGTGAAACCAATAGGCTGATAAGGTCAACATGTTAGAGACAACAGGTAAGGAATAAATACATAATGGCATCAGCAGAAAGGGAGTGGCCAAGCATTTTCATTAACATAGTATTAGCCGCGTAGTTGAGGAATTGCGACTTGTATTGATTGGCGCACTGGTTGAGAAATCTTTGGGTGGCATCCAATAGCGCTATGTCTGCATCGCCGGGTTGCGATGCCTCACGCATTGCGGACTATTTCCCTAGAATTGGGGTTTCGATATTGGAGAGGAAGGTATCAAAAATATCAGCGTTGTCTGCGACAATTTGACCTACTAATTTTTTGGCCGCATTATACTCGATATAACGGCCCTACGGGTGCTTTAAAAAGAGTATGAAGACTTCTTGTTTTGACTTCTGCCCTAGACGGTGCAAGCGGCCAATGGCCTGAATAGTGGTATTCACACTGATTGCTGGCTCCACGAGAATGGGGGGGTACAGTCTCTGTGTAGGTTGAGGCTTACACCATTGTAATAACGCTTGTGGAGCTCCGAGTTAGTGTTGGAGTTTTGTGAAGTAGAAGTCGGATGTGCCCCAATACGTCCGACGACTAGTTTTTTTGATTCTGGAGACTTCGGAGACTTTGAGGAGCGAAAGGCAATGTAGGAGCCCACCATTAGAAAGGAAAATTCTTTTCGAATGTGCCAATATATGTGACGTGGGAATGGCTTATTCGAGATTCGATGTCTCCCTAACAGCCTGCGCTCTAAAATAAACACTCTCAATTGGCGGTAGTCATGATAATGGCCGAAATTCTCGGAAAGGAATGGTTAATCAAACTCTAGTGTGGTAGTATGTCAGGCCGTTGCTGCTTATCGAGGGGATATCTGCCTGAAGATACATAGTTGGATGTGTCGGTGTCACCGGCGGCAGGGTATTCTAAGCGTGGGGTCATTCGACTTGCTCGTTGGGACGAAACCTCATCCCTTCGCCGATGTACATCCTGTCAGCCGTGCCTGTCAAGACGTCCCAAAATAGTCTCTTGAAACCCGCGATTCTTAGGAGGGTGGTATGACATTACCAAGCCGCTGATCCACAAATGGGAGCCCCTGATTGGGTGCAGAGAGAGTCGTTATATATCTTTGACAACCACCCACACAATTCCATTCGTAGTGTTATATGGCCCCGTGAGATCCCCATAATGGGGCCCTGCATATTCACAGGTGTCTCTCTGATATCCTTGTCCCCTATCATAACCGATGAATTTCTGATATAGATGACAGCGTTCACAGCCCACAACCAAGGTAGTCCCAGCAGGAGCTGCGGAGAGCCGGAACCCCTAGGTTTTGGCTGGAGAAATACAACAATAATGTGGATATCAAAGGTTGTTGAGGTTGTTCCTTGGAAGTCAAGCGAAGCGGCTCATTTTAGCATTCTCTTGGCGCTGTGCCGCATAGGCTCTTCCCGAGGTCTCCACCGCAGCGGCAATTCAGCTAAATTTATATATCCGAGACAAGACTGCTGTGAAAGAGTGTAGGTAAAGGTGTATATGTATGGACAGGCAAACCGAGCCCTGTTTCTCCGGTCTTTAATCGATCTGTCTGTTCAACCCTCTTTCTCACCTTTATCCCTCGGCTATATCCGTCAGTTGTCAGTATGACCCAGACAGAGGAGCCGTGGCTCATTAAACTCCACGACGAATGGATTTCTTCCAATGGTAGTGAAGATGGGGTTGTTAAACATGATTTTGCTATCATTATCAAGGACTTGCTTCTGGGTATAAATCTGCCCGGTAGACGCTGCAAAGGTAATTGACACCTACCATTGGGACAGAAATCTCGACTCGGGCCCTCTCTTCAAATACCATCCTGATGGAGTAGGAGGGGTCGAGGGAGCGCTCTATGAAGTCATCATTGATGCGGTTGAATTTCTCTCCTATAAATAACAGGCAAGAAGACCTAGCGCATCTCGTTTTAGAACTGCATAGGATTCCGCCAAAGCCTTTCAAGCGCTGGAATGTATGTCCTGCACTGTATTCTTTGATTCCGTATCTCTTAATTTTGACATCAAAATTAGGGAGAGCTATTTGTAACGGACTCTCTTTTTAGCGAAAGTCTCTCAAACCGTCGGCGTGATGAGTATGATTATTCTCTCTTCTTTCAATTCTTTTTGCTGTCTCATCATTCAGAACTGACAAATTTAGGACACGAAATATCCACAGATACTACGAAGGAAACATGGATATCTTTATCGTCTTGCATTGCTCGGTGTATTGAACTCCGTATTGAAAGCCACGTCCCAGATAGCGATAGGTATCCTCTTATGGAGATCACCAAAGGTCTGGAGGAGAATCTTTCCCCAGGACTTGAGCAAGATACGCGGGTTATGGTCGCTGCGCAGTGTATTATATTAGCGCCTACTCTTGTTAGTGATAAAATGAAGAAACTGTTGGGAGGACACGGCAAACCCTCTGGCTGTGATGTTCTCAGATTGTGGATACGCAAACTAGAAGACCTGGCAGATAATAGCGGCCTAAACTCTGAACTGAAGGCTGCTGTTGTTGAAGTTAGGGATAAACTTGTTTTGTTGCATCCAGAGCTTTCGACGGGTAGACCCGGAGAGGTGTAACATATCGAGTCAGAGAGAACCGGAGTCACCAGAGTGATGGGTACTCGGTGATATTGCAATGTGGGTTTTATTTTGTTAGGTATACGATTGGAATAATTGAAGTCAAGGAAAGAATGTAGAGCAGGGCTTCAATATATATCATATCTGTGGTAGTGAAGGTGATAATTGATCTAGTATCAGGTGAATAGGGACAATTTCACTAGACGAGTCTGCTTTTGAAAAATTCACTGCTTTTTTCCGGTATCACTTAGCATTGAAGCCTGCGTCAAAGAGACTAGGTAGCCGCATCCACCTCTAGTAGATAAATATCTGCTACACCTTAGAAAAGCCCGTTTCCCCCGGCCCTTTAGACGCAGACGTTGCATGTTGGATGCTTCGACGGCGCTAGTGGGCTCGCAGTGCATTTTTAGCGCGGCTTGGCGTTAACTTAGTTGACGCGGCCCCACAGCGGCAGCAAAGAACGGGCCTCCCGTGTCTATAAAAACCTGGAGCAGATAAGTAGAAGCGGTTGTTGCTACCTTATGGCCATCCCTGAACCATTTAGCGGCGTATTATCACTTTGATGCCTTGCTAGTGACACTGTAACTAAGGTTTTGCGATATGGCTCTAGCAGATGAACTATGACGTGTGGAACTGCAAAGAATGGATCTCCTGCGAAGGAGTTGTTGAATATGACTTCGGCATGATAATTAGGAGCCTGCTCTTAAACGACATCAGTACAGAGGAGGCAGAGGCCGCCAAGTGGCTTGATACTTACTATTGGGACAGAAATCTTGACTCAGGGCCACTGTTCAAATACTATCCTAAGGGACTCGGTGGTGTTCAGATTATACTATACGAGCTGGTTTTATGCATGGCTGAAAAGCTGCCATATAACGATAGCAGACAGGACACCATGGTGTAACTGATTCTTGAACTTCGCAAAATCCCACCAAGACCTGTCAAGGCATAGGATATAACTGTTACACTTCATTTCGTGTTGAACTCCATTAAAGGATGTATTCTAAATTAGCTACAGGAGGAGGATCAGTTTTCGCTGGCTGATGGTATGTTCTCTGAATGCTTGTATAACTACTGGCGCGAAGCCTTTTGTATGTTCCCAACTACCTAGCCTGAATCCTGTCATTATACTAAGTATATACTATGTTCTGGGGGAGTGGAAGAGGCTTTATCAGAAAGTCGTTTCTCCCACCTCACAAGTTCTGTGTATAAATATAGTCGTACTAGGCGCGTATGGGAGGAAGTCATGAAAATCAATTTAATTGAAGTCTGCCTGGTGTTAGTGGCATCTGGCGCAATGCTGTATCCTCAAAGGTTTGCCAGAGTATACCTGGTCATAAAAGAAAGTGAGTAGGTTGGATATAAAAACAATAATAGTCATCAAATAAAGTACATGGTAAAAGCACATCTGCCAACTTTGGCAGCCGCATAATTCCGCAGAAACTGCCACCTAGTTCTCCGGAAGTTGCTGTATGGTCTCTTTGATCAGAGCGATCAGCTCGTCGATGTCTGGCCGTTCAGCAGGCTCAACCCGTAAGCAACGCCTAACTAGCTCCTTTACTGGCGGGCTTATACCTCCACTCTCGGTTGAACCAGCATCAGCGACATTCCCTTGCGAAGAGACCCTGGTTTTACCCTTTCCAGCATCTGTATTTCCGCCCTTCTCGTCGGGGAATCGCCAGTCGCCTCCAAGAACGCACATGGCCAAACTGCCACCTGTCTCTTCACTGCGGGCTTCAAACGGGCTCTTGCCTACAAGACAAGCGTATAGTGTGCAGCCCAGAGACCAGATGTCTACTTTCTCGTCAATGATGGAGCCTGTTTTCACATCGAACAGCTCTGGCGCACGGTACGGCATGGTGCTGTGTTCGGCAGCAGTGTCTTGAACAGCTATGGCGAGGGAGCGAGATGTGATTGCGATGGGACTTGGGCTAAGGGATCCTAGATCCATGAGGATTGGCGTCTTGCCGTCATCATCTATCATGATGTTCCCTGCATATGTATTAGTGACGCTTATCATATGATGTAACGTGAGAGACGTAAATACCAGGCTTGATGTCTCGGTGAGAATACGGTCTGTATTCACCCTCTTCCACGCCTTCCTGACTGATTGCAACTTCACCATCCATCAGAGGCTCATGTTCAGACTCATCTTCATCGTCATCAACCCTTCGACTCGTCCGCCTGGTCGGCTTTCCCTTTGATTTGCCCTTTGCGGCTCCATTGCCATTCCCTCTCGATGCAGAGTCCTTCACCTTGTACTGATGCATACACTTCAGCGCCCTGGCTACCCCGAGCATTAATATCATCAAGTCTCTCTCTGGGAACGAGGTGTGGTTGACCAGGTTTGCATTGATGGCGTCCTGAAGGTTCCCTCTCTGGTAGTATGGTAGAAGAATGTACACGGTTTTTGATCCGGCATCTGCGCCGTCTGATCTGAATTTCGACCCAGACTCGGTCACGACGGAGTAATCGATGGAATGGATGATGTTGCGGTTGGGAGTGAACAAGCTGTATGCTTCAACTTCCTTGAGGGCGAGTGAGACAGATTCTTGACCGAACGGACATCGTATCTTTTTGAGCGCAAAGAGCTCATCGGTACTCTTATCCTGGACGAGATAGACGTAGGAGAAGCCACCCTAGAAGCCCAAATTCATTAGACATGCTCGCAGATCGGGGGATAATCTGCATAATTGTAGTCGTACCTCTCCGAGAAGACGCAGCAGCTTGAAGCTCCGGTTGTTGATCTTCAGCTGCGGCGAGCTCGGGAAGCAGCAGAGACAGTCCGTGAAGGTGTAGAGGAGGTCGAAGAAGTACTGCGCCATTGTCACCGTCCTCGCTGTCGCTGGATAGACGATGAAGCCGGGGGTCCTAATCGTAGGAGCAGCAGCAAGAGAGCAGAATCGACGGCTGCAGAAAAGGAGGCCAGCGCCGACTAACAGGCTAAAACGGCGGTTTCAAACGCAGTCTTGACCCTCTTAGTATCTCGTCCGTGTCCAACGACTAGTCGGCAGCGCCAGGATCGCAGGCTGGAGAAAGCTGGAGAAGGTCGAGATGTCGTTGTTTGATGCTGGAGGATGCGCGGCTGTGGCTGAGGCCGCGAGAACCAACGAGGTGGCTTTTCTCTCTCTCTCTCTCTCTCTCTGCGGATTCTTCCACACCGTCGAAAAAAAAAGCTGCGACTTCACCAACCAACTACATAAAACTATCACGCCCAAGAACGCTCGACACAGACAGACCCTCCCCTTCTACCAGCGCATCTCCTGCATATGAACGAGGCTCCCTCAGCCGCTGCTCCGTCTGCCGCGCGTGCTCCATCCTCCCTGGACCCTGATCAGCCGCTAAAAACGGTTATAAACAAATATAAACAGCGCCCTCAGGCCAGCTCCTTTTCCTCCCTCCATCCTCCGCTGCTCGGCCCAAGCAAGCCACAAGAGATTCACCCGTTGCTCTCTTTGCTTTTTCGACCTTCTCTGACCTTCTCTGGGGTTTCGTTCTCGGTTTCAGCTCCTTTTTTTCCTCTTGTCCGAGTCCTACCAACTCGCCGGAGTCTGTAACCGTTGTTTGAAGCCTCTCTTGCACTCTACTACTCAAGTCTTACTGAGATCACGACTGACGAACCTCGAGACGGACAGTACTTGGAGCCTACAATGTTTTGAGACGATTCCGTGGCCATTTGTCTGATGCTATAAAGGAAAAAAAGACTGTGACACCATGACGGCCGCTGACGACGTCCAGGTTGGCGACCTGGTCAATGTGCCAGGTGGGATGTACGGGACTGTGAGGTTCCTGGGCCCGGTGGCAGGCAAGCCGGGCAGGTTTGCTGGCGTCGAACTGGCGCCAGAGCTGGCTGGCAGAGGGAAGAACAGCGGAGATGTCGACGGAAGACACTACTTTACGACCTCAATCCCCGGCTCGGGCATATTCGTGCCCATGAACAACTCGAAATACGTGACGAGACGAGCGGTTGCGCCACAGCTGACAGCAACATCTGCGAGGAGTGGCCCGTCGATTACGAACTTCAGTAGATCTGTTGGGCCGGGCTTGAACCTGTCCTCGACCACCAGACCAAGGATTCGGCGGCCTTCGTTGCCCCGGCCGGATTCACCCAGCAAAGGTGCACCTTTGCCATCGCCAAAGTTGAATGTTAGTGGTTTACGCACGCCGTCCGGTATGCCAAAGGGCCCTCCCATAAATGGACGGCCACGCACGCCGCTGAAGAGTAGACCGGCGAGCAGGCCGTCGTCTAGAATCAGCATGGAGAGCACAACTCCGAAACGGATGGATGCCGTTCGGACACCCGCCCTCGACGACTCTGATATAAACGACCGGACGAGGGAGCTGGAAATGCAGCTTCGTGAGCGAGACAAGCAACTGGAGGTTCAGGCAGCAACCCTTGCGGAGTTCCAGCAGTGTGTCACCGAGCTGGAGGGGTTGGATGCTCTCCAGGTCAGAGCACAACTCAAGGAGAAAAACGACAAGATATCTGCTCTCACGGCAGAATTTGATAGCCACAGGGCTGATTTCAGGAGTACCCTTGATACTCTCGAAGTGGCAGCTTCCGAGACTGAGCGGGTATACGAGAAACGAATCGAAGAGCTGCTCCAGGCAAACAGGGAGCTTCAGTCCCGCGGCGAAGATGTCGAGACAGTCGCCCTGCAACTCAAGCAGCTAGAGGAACTCGTATCCGAACTCGAAGAAGGTCTCGAAGATGCCAGGAGAGGAGAGGCTGAGGCCAGGGGTGAAGTTGAATACTTGCGTGGAGAGGTTGAGAGAACCCGCTTGGAGCTCAAGCAAGAACGGGAGAGGTCATCAGGCTCATTCCAAGACGGTGAGTCCTCAGCTGAAGGGTCGAGTAGGCATCATCCTACGATCAGAGACCTGGAGCAAAAGGACGACGAGATTCGCGGGCTTAAAGCTATCATTCACTCCCTCAGCCGTGGAGACCCAACTTCCCAAGCGTTCCTCCAGCAGAACGGTATAGGACAAGGAAAGGGGCCATCTGATGGAGACTATGATGCCAATGACCAGCTATCAAAGATGGACTTACGTATTCAGGAGCTCGAAGCCGCCCTGGAGCATAAAACCCAGCGGATCAGCGAGCTGCAGCAAGAGGTCGAAATGGGCCAGGCGCAGACAAACGCCTTTCGTGGCACAATCACCACCTCGCCCCTAAGAGTCCACAAGAATGCACCAGAACCAGCCAGCGACAGGGCCGCCGGCCCTAGCGTACCAACCCATGCACACACGCTTTCGGACCGCACGATCGTCCCCGGAGACTGGACCGAGAACTCTCCTGGCCAGGGCAACACCCTTGATGCCCAATCGTCTAGCACGGATGATGGCAGTGCAGCCTGGTGCGAGATCTGCGAGTCCAGCGGACATGACATCCTCACCTGCACCAACATGTTTGGCACGATGGGCGTAAGCAAGCCAACCAGCCACCCGGCGAGCCTTCAACCCGCATCACAGCCACCGCAAGTGACCGGACCACCGGAGAGAAGCAGTTTTGTCCAGGCCTCGATCGATTCCGCGCTTCATGATAGCATGGACAGCAGCTTCGCCTCCACCCGCAAGCCATCATCCACCACTCCAGAGGCTAACGGATCTTCGTCTGCCAAACAGGGCAGCCCAAGCTCCCAGCGGACCGGCAGAGACGTCGTGCTGGAAGGTCTCAAGGGTATTGGTGGCCTCCCTTCTTCGTCCATGGCTCCTATTGCTGGAAAGTTATCTGGCGTCATCGATGAGTCGAAATGGTGTGCCCTGTGTGAACGAGACGGCCATGAAAGCATCGACTGCCCCTTTGACGAGTAAAATTGAGACAGAACAGACTTCGTTCACGCTCATTCATAACGCTTTTGTTCTTTCTTCAGCGTGTCATCCATCTGCTGCTATTTATGCGAGTATATCGGCGCGGTCTTACTTTTCTTGCTTATTTGCGACTCCGTCCCGACGTTCGCTATTATGGTCCTATATCCTCTTTAATACTTACTGATGGCCTCTGATATTTCGGCACTTGACTCACGGCCATGATGCATGTTCATTGAAGGAAGAAGAAGAATGCCCACCATACCCCCCTATACCATCCATCTGCTTTTCAACCATGACTTTCGGTATACGATTGCACGGTATACCCACCCCCTGACATTCTCCCAGTGTACATGCTTCCAGTTCAGCATAGCCTTGCAGGTTTTTCTCCTCGATCTTTCCTTTACATTTTACCCAACCTTTTTTATTCCCTTTTGTTTTAATATATCCCGCTTTCCCCTCGCTTTGCTTTGTTTGAAAGAGGTCTTTCGGACTCAGTTGGGGTTTTGCTTTCTCTCTCTCTTTCTCTCTCTCTTTCTCTCTCTCTTTCTCTCTCTCTTTCTCTCTCTCTTCGTTTCCCATGTACCAGGACTGGCAAAAGAGAAATAATTACTTACTTTATCCCCCTATTAGTGTCTATAATCAATATCATACACATCTGATTTCTCTATCCGCTCTCTCTCCTCATGCATGATATCCCTATCCCCGGTTTTATTCGGTGATCACTCCAGCGACCTGGAGGAGATACCGTGGCATACTGACATCAGAACAGGGACACCTAGCAAGGCAGAGACACAAGAGAAGAGAGGTATTATTCTGTTGGCTTTCTTTTCTTTTCACCCTTTCAAATAAGGAACAAGGCATTGCTGGATCATTGCGCGAATACCCGAGCCCCGGGGCCCCCTCGATGAAAGAATCAAGGGCCTAAAAAGGAAGACAACCCAGATGAAGGAAAAAAAGGGGGGGGGGGGGGGGAATCTATGCAACAACGCCGATCCCACACTCCAACTCCCGTTTCCCACTGTTAGTTAGTCTTTTGTACGGCAACCGAAAAACGAACTGCTTATTCGTCTTCCAGGAAACGAGGAGGCTGCACCACCTCGCCATCCCCATATCTGACAGGCACCAGACACCCGCACTTCTTGCACTCGCGCTTGCTCTCGTCGTTGGCAAAGTCCTCGATAATGCCGTTCAGCTGGGTGCCCAGGTCGGTGCAGACAAAGCTCTTCTCCCAGACGATGCTCTTGCACTCCCTGCAGTACCAGCGCAGCGTGTCTTTGGCGCCCTTTGGCCGGGGCACCTCCAGCACCACCCCCACCGTATCCGCGAACCTGACGGGCGAGTGCGGGGTGTTTGGAGGCAGGAGATAGAGCGAGCCCTCGTGGACGGGGATGTCCTGGAAGGTCGGCGGGCTGGTGGAGGTGTCGACCACCTTGATCACGATCGAGCCCTTGTGCTGGTAGAAGAACTCCGGCGTGGGGTTGATGTGGTAGTCAGTCCGGGTATTGGGCCCGCCCACCACCATGACTGTGTATCCCTGCGTGGCCTTGGAGGACGGGTGGTAGACGCAGTAGTTGCTAACCGGCGGTTTGAGAAGATGTCCGTTCTCCTTCAGCCTGCACATTTTCGAGGGGGGGTGGTCAGCAAACGGGCACCAGGCACCATCCGGCAGTCTCGGGAAGTGTTTCAGCAGGCGTACCACTTGGGGATGTTCAATGCAGGAGGCAACATTTTGTGTATATCTTTGTCTTTCTCTGCTGTGACGCCGTCTAAGAAGCTGTAGTTGTGCACGCGAGGCGAGGCCAGTACATCCCATCTACACCCTGAGCAGACGTCTCTCCGCGCCAGGAGCTCGCATGTCAGGCCTCGGGCCGGTTTCTTTATACAAAAACCAGCAACGACGGCGCAAGACTCGGACTTTATGACTCTCTCGTTTCGCTTTCTTCGTTTCCTTCGGATCTTTTTTTATTTCTTTGCTTTTTCTGATTTTTTTTGTCCCGCGAAAGAAAAGAAAAGAAAAAAAATAATAACAAAAAATAAAAAAAAAAAAAAACGAAAATAAAAGAAAAAGAAAATAAAAAGCCTCGGCTCGGCGGAAAGTTTATCCTTTCCGGTGATTTTTTTTCTTTTTCCAATATTTTTTTTTTTTTTCTTTTCTTTTCAATTTTGATATTCAAAACGACGATGGACAGCGAGGTTGATATTTGTTGATATTTGATGTGAATGCTTGATATCTGTGAAATAGGTAAAGAGACGACGACGACGCAAGGAGATGCCTCGATAGGAACTGAATTGGCTGCGTCTACCTGATATAATGGCCGCCACTACGCAGCCCCCGGTGCGCTTCACTGGCCATGAAGGTCTTGCCCTTCGCCTGGTCCTGTCGACCATCACCGGGCGAGCTATTCACGTCTCCCAGATCCGCTCTGCCTCCCTCAATCCCGGCCTGACGCCCTATGAAATCTCGTTTCTGCGCCTTTTGGAAGCAGTCACCAATGGCTCCCACCTCGAAGTCTCCTACACAGGCACCATTCTGCTTTATAAACCCGGTCTGATCACAGGTAGTGCTGCTGGAGTGGGCGCAAGCCGCGGCGTCGTCACACATGAACTGCCGGCCGGATGCACTCGCGGAGTCAGCTACTTTCTGCTCCCCTTGTGCCTCCTTGCCCCCTTCTCCAAGGCCCCCGTGAATGTCCTTTTTACCGGCCCTGGGGTGATCACCTCCTCTACCCCATCGGGTGATATGTCCGTCGATAGCGTACGGACAGCGATTCTCCCACTCTTTGCTCAGTTTGGTATCTCCAACAATGTTGAGTTGCGTGTGCTGCGGAGGTCAAACCCGGGCACTAATGGGAAGGGAGGCGGCGGGGAGGTGCAGCTTGTTTTCGGCCATCAAGTTCGCCTTCCCAAGACCCTGCATCTCTTGAACCCCGGCAGAGTAAAGAAGATCCGTGGAGTAGCATACTCAACTGGCGTTTCTGGTAGCAATAACGCACGCATGATTGATGTTGCTAGAGGGGTCCTCAACCCCTTTGTATCTGATACCTATATTTTCTCTGACGTCTCCTCTGCTCCCTTGGTCCCTGCTCCAGAGAGGAATAACCCCGCTGCTAAGAAGAAGATTGGCGTGGGCTTTGGTCTTTCTCTCGTAGCCGAATCGTCCACCGGCTGTCTGTACTCTGCTGATGTAGCATCTCCACCCTCTGGCGGGCAGCCTCCCGAAGATATAGGGAAACAGTGTGCATATCAGCTGCTGGAGTCGATTGCTACTGGTGGCTGTGTGTCAAAAGTCGCCGCTCCGACTATACTCACCCTTATGTCTATGGGATCAGAGGACGTAGGACGTCTGCAGGTTGGTCGTGATGTCGTCTCTGATGAAACCGTTGTCCGTCTTGCCAGGGACTTGAGCAAGCTTGGGGCCGCCGGATGGGGTGTGAGAGACGCCCCTGACTCTGACGACGGCGAGATAATTCTCAGTGTCGTTGGAAGGGGTATAGGAAACATCGGCAGAAAGATCGCTTGATGGGTATTCTTCCTCTCTTATCTCACTAAAAGTCGTCAAGCTCAACTTATATCACCATCAAGAGGTTGTTTGCTGCTGCGCTGATGCTGCACCAGAGTATCTCTCCTTCCCTTGGCCACAGTAATGCAGGTGCGGACATGCTCGTTAACGGGCCAACCCACGCATATCACAACGCGGAGAACATCCATACGGCCTGCCTGGCTTTCCGTCTCTACCATATCCTACTACAAGTAAAGAGACTAAATCAACAGACCGGCTGTCCTACTCTCTGGCGCTCCATCGCAGCCTTCCTCGACTCCTACTTTATCCCAGCAAGAGCATCAAGCTCCAGCCCCATCGCTTATTACATAGCTATATCACTTCGACTTATAAGTATATCCGTCTGTATAGCTACGAAATACCCTGTGGCCGCTATACCATTTACCTACACGGCCATACTACTTATCCAACACCTCTGTGGTCTCTTCCAGTGCCTACGTTGCCATCACTATGTACAATAGCTAGCACCAGGTCTCCTGGACATACCAATACAATATCCTATTCTACTATGCTATCAATATCCGTTCTAACCTGTTCCCTATCCTCCCTTCTCATGCTCATGGTCCCCTATCTCTACCCCTACCTCTACCATCGTCACCGTCTGCCTGCTCCTATTTCTCAATATCCGCCACCGTTCCGATTCCATGAGATTCCAACTGACGTCGACTCTGACACCAACCACTGGTTCGATATCCCATTTAGGAATATATGACGCCGGTTCCAGATATTCAGCAACTTTGTCAAACACCACCTATATAAACCCCATCTTTTCCTCTCTCCCTTCTTCTCCCTTTCTTCTTTTTCCTCTTTTTTTCTCCCCGTATTGCTCTCCTGTGTGTGTGTCGCCCACCCACTTGCTTCACCTTCTTGCTGATCCGCACACTCGTCAATTGGTGTGCCCGTGATACTTTATACCTGTACATATATCTTATCACGTCTACCCGCCTGTCACTGCCAGTATGGCATACACGCAAATGTACACTTGTGGTCCCTCTCACGTCCTACCCACAATCGGGTCCCTCGCCGACTCCATCAACCGAACCGAGGACACCTCCTTTTTCGACTTCTTTTGCTCTACCCCAGAGGCAGAGTCGATCCGAGCCACTTTCGGCGAAGTGGCATACCAACAATACGTCGAACAAGCTCTCGTTAGTCGACAAGCGAGAGCGGCCCGAGCGGCCGAGATTAGCAAGGAGTTGGCCTCAAAAAGGTCCACGATCCAAAGATGGATCACGAAGATCAGATACGCATACACTGAGACCAACTAAAAAAAAAAAAAAAAAAAAAAAAAAAAAAAAAAAAAAGGAATAAAGGCGCGTGTGCCTTCGCTTCTAGGTATGCCATCCAGTCATCATATCCTCCCTATTATATTGATTTAACCACTTGCTAACCGTTTCCTACTCACCCAGCGTCGATACAATGATCGCACAGTGCGAAGTTCGACACCACTGTGATTACACTGTATGCATGCGCATAAAAAAAAAAAAACCTCAAAAAACACAAAAACACAAAAAAAAAACTGCATTCTGGGGGGGAATAAAGGCGGGATCATTCCCAAAAGCAAGGTATGTTATTTCACTTCCTTTCCCTTCCGCCATCTTCGAACTGCTTCCACTGACGTGTTTGCTCTGGGTGATATCATCTTCTAGATATGCTTTTTTAAGCTTTTCGGATGACTGTCCCGAAACAGCGGATAGCGGCTCTTCGCACGTTCCACATCCGCATAGCCAAGAACACGTTGGTGCCAATACCAACACGAACACCATGGACAACAGCCACAACTAGATGGTAGTGGCTCTTATACTACCTTATCAACATGTCATCGATTACATGACTATTTGATGCAACGGCCTTGGAGGAGTTACGGGATGTTTATGGGCATGATATTATGGCGTGATGATTTTATGCGTTTATGACTTCATGACTGTACTCTGTGGGATAGTTGTTGCTCATCTGCTGGCAGACGAGGCTTCGTCGTTGAGAACCTGTATATTACTAGAGAAGACAAATAGACATATATTATATCTCATTTAACTACTTAGCCTGGACTTAAACCTGTTGTAATCTTATCTTTTGCAGCATGTTATTCCAAAAAATATACGGCAGGGTGCGTATTAACAAAGCTTAAGAGGATACAGCTGGAGTCGTTATTTCATTGGAGTCAGATCTTCTGGGAAACAGTTATTGCCCTCCTTGTCAAGCCACTGGGGGAGCCCTGCATATTTGTTGATCCAGTTGATCACTGCTCTGTGCCAGAGCAAGGAGTTCTCGGGCTTAATGACCCAATGGTTCTCATCCGGGAATGTCAAAAGTGCACTCTCCACGCCACGCAGCTGAAGTGCGTTGAAAAGAGCAAGACCTTCGGCGATTGTAAGTCGGTAGTCACGCTCACTGTGAATGACGAGATGAGGGGTCTTCCATTCATTGATGAACTCGGAGGGATCCCATTTTATCCAGCTTTCAGGGTTCTTCCAGTAGATCCCGTTGAGATCATGAATAGGGAAGTACAGCTCCTCGGCGGCCAGGGAAAATTTGGTGCTGAAAATTCCATCATGAGTGACTAAAGCCTTGAATTTCCTCCCAAGCTCATGTCCCTGTATCCAGTTCATCATGAATCCACCGTACGATGCGCCCAAGGCGACAGCCCGATCGGTGTCCACGAAGGAGAGGTTGTTTTCAATATGTTCAAAGCATTTAACTAGGTCCTCGTAGGGTAGACCACCCCAAGACCCTCTAATGGCATCAGTGAAGCCTTGTCCATAACCAGTGCTTCCGGTGGGGTTTGGTGTGACAACTACATACCCCTGCTCAGCAAAGATTAGAGGGTTCCATCGAGTGCTCCATTGGTCGTTCCATGCTCCTTGGGGGCCCCCATGGACAAGGAATGCTAGAGGGTATTTTCCACCTGGTTTAAAGTTGGAGGGCTTAATAACCCAGGCATGGACAGGGTGGTCATTGGCGCCCTTCCACCATGTCTCACTGACTTGGGATGGCGACAGACCAAAGGATGAACCGTTATTCGTAGCCGACGATATTTCCCTAGTTTCTCCTTGGTGCTTAGCTTCTACTATCGAGTACAAACTGCTTTCCACAAGACTGCTGCTCGTGAGGAAAAGGCCCTTAGGAGTGGAAGCTACATCCACAACCGAACCAGTCGAGGAGATATTGAGCAAGTTGGCAGTAGTCAAGGCCTTTACATCTCCCATCGGAACCTGAAATACGAGTCCCCTGCCAGTATCTTCTGCCTTGATTATAAGGGAAGAATCATCATGGGCCCATACCAATGAGCTAGGGCTACGGTCCCATGCGCCCTTGTTGTCCTCACTGGCAAAAAGTTCAATAGTCTCTGATCCTTGGTCAAATACGCCCTTTGCTATAACCACCCTGTTCTTATCCGACTCATATCCATCCTCTCGCATGGCAAGGAAGGCTAGTGTGTTATTGACCGGAGATATTACTGGGGAGGTTAACGCGCCTTCAAGTGATGTAGCCGTGACGGTCTTGGCTTCCATGGGATTGACGGATTCGGTCAAGGCAGCAAATGGAATGGGACACACATAACAGACACATTTAGTGTGAAGAGCATCGTTAAGAGTAGGATCCTTGCTAACAAAGACCACTCCTTTGGGGCAAATATCGAAATGATCAGATCCACCAAAGGGCAGAATCGGAGATTCAACACGATGAGGGAGATTGAATAGCTTAAACACATTCTTCAATCCAGACACGGAGTACTGCGATGAGTCAGGTCCAGAAAGGGAAGACTTATGTAATGTTCCAATCCATATCGTTTGCTTTTCATCTTGAGTATACTCATCCCAGTGTCTCACGAATAGAGAGGTATAAATCTTGCCGGAGCTGACAGGCTTTTTCACATTGGAAGGGTTGAAGAGTGTCCCGTCTGAGTTTGCTTTTCCACTGACCGCAAAAGCAAAGTGGTCTTTTGACAGCTTAGTAACCTTGAGATTCGATACAGTGCCGGGGGTCACGCCAGCAACGTAGGGCTTAGAATCACCCGAAACCTCGGTGACAATAAAGCTTGTATTTCCATTACTCTCCTCTTTCAACCAAATAAGCTGGTTATCATCCAGCCATTGCGGACTTCCACTGTAGGAGTTGGCGAGGACCCTGGTCTTCTTCGAGGCGAGGTCAAGGACGATCAATTCCGTGTGTGATGAGTGGGATTCGAAGCTATACGTTGACTGTGTATAGGCTAGGAGCGTTCCTGCCGGGTTCGGAACACACGCTGAGCGGCGTGGTGCACTCAGAAGGACCCTATAAATTGTTAATCTCTATAATCTTGAGGAGGTACATGAGTGCCGGACGTACTCAGGGTCAAATTTGGCTCTATGTACCGTCATGTTGCTGGACTTGGGCCCGCGGGAGGATTGTATAACTAAGATGCAATTAAGGAAGAGCCCTATCGCGCAATTAGCTTACCGAAAAGCTATTTGGTTTCAATTCCGAGTTGTGTGATACAGTATAAAAGCGAGAGAAGAGAACTTGGATGATGTTGGCGCACTTCCGCTCTTTATAAATCGGAGCTTCAAGCCAGGAACCTTGGGGAAATGCGGGGAAACACGTGATCAGATGTCGCGCCGCGGAGCAACCAAAAATTTGGACGTTCAATTTGCATTTTGAATGGACAAAATTGATAGATGCTGCTTGATAGAAGGCAAGATGAACTGGGGGAAACAGTTATATTGCAATCAGTTATACATACATGCACGCATTTTTTAAAATCGAATGCCAAAAAGAACCAACACCTTGAAACAGGGTAAAATTGCAGCGAATTAAAAGCACATCTACTCCTCGTCTTCCTCATCCTCGTCTTCATCCTCATCCATACCCTCAGCAGCTGTTATCTTATATGTAGGGTCTTGGTCCACGCCGACATAACTGTCACTCATGAGGTAGAGCGTCAACTCATGTTCTCCGGGGCTAGGCACCACATATTCCAGCTTCATCTCCAATTTTCGACCAACGGTCACCCTCTTGAGAGATAGTAAGCTGTTCGTTTTCTCCTCGCCAACCACGAGCCACCAGTTCTCCATTTTCTTTGCAGGATAGAATGGAGCGGACACCGTGGTATCTGGTTCTTCATCCTCATCTAGCTCACGCTCAATTTTCACCTTGAGATAGGCTGGTTCACCAGCGGTGATCTCTTCTGGTTCAAGGACGGTAAAGTCGAGGTCCAGGTTCGGGTATTTGTTGTTGGTAAAAGCAGCAGCCTGAGCGAGCTGTTTGTTGTCAAGGCCGAGACGCTTGACAAGGGTGCTGTAGTCTTTGTTCTCCGATGGGTCCATGGCCTCCATAAATTCAAAGATGTCACGAATCCTAGCACAGTTGTTAGCATATCTATAAATTCACATTTGCGAGATATTAACAGGCACATACTTGAACTCATTAGCGACCTTAATAGCGTTTGGACCGAAGTGGGGAATCTGCATTAGCGGACTATCTCTATCCCACATGGACTGGACAACCATCTGCGACATTTCCATGGCATTCATAGCATTCAGATGGCCCTTGGAGGAAAGGACATCGACGCAGGCGCTAAGTAGGTTAAGAACTTTGCCAACAATGATCTCCTGGTCCTTTGCAAGGTCAATTGGCAGCTGGAGACGTGAAAAATGCGCTTGGAGAAGAACAAAGGCTTTGAAATGTGGCGAGTCAAAGGCAGGCTCGGCCATTTTGACAGGCACTCGGTCGTACACTCTGCGAAGAATGTAGTCTTCATGGCGTCGCACTTGAATGGACTCGAATTCTGTAGCAGAAGTGACAATTTCAAGCATACCCTTAAGCTTCGTTCTGGGAGAAAGTGAAAGAAGGAAGGTCTGCATAGTGATGAAGGAGATGTTGTAATAGGCACCAATCATGGCAGCGTTCAGAGGAGAGATGTTTTCATCCTCATCCATATCGACAATTTGTGCTTCAGCCAGCTCCTTGAGGGTGTTTTCGACAAGTTCCGATAAGAAGGTACTTAGTCCCTCATGGCTCACATCGGTAAGACCATAATAACTAGGGTTAGCGAGAAGTCGTCTGTAGAAATACGAGTACGTCATCCAGTCAACAGCATCTTGAGTAGACGTGATTGTTTTCGTGCTTATTTCCGTCACAAACGCATCATGAAGATATAGCTGCAGATGGCTCTCCATAGGCAGTGCTTCGTTGAGGAATTTTTTATAA